CAGGCATTTCTCCATTGGAGACCTAGTTTTATTTTTTACTGGAGAAGAGTATTAGAAACCAAGATCTGGGTGCAGGATGTGTACATTTATAGTGGAACCCCTGCATCCTAGGCCCTCTCCACTAACAGAGTGGAAACATACATGTATTTATATCTTCTGTTTTTTCCATCACCAGTTTGTCATTTTCCATATATATGTACTGTCCATATATTGGTGTATTTATACTAAAGCATTTCAATCGGAATTCTATTATAAATGATATTTTTAAATTTTCAAATTTTCATTTTTATACTGCTAGTAAAAAGGAAAACAGTTGACTTTTTAAAAAGTTTTTAATGTATTTTTAACCAGCTTTATTGAGATAAAATTGATATGTAACACTGTGAATTTAAGGCGTACAACCTGTTGACTGGATATGCTTATATACTGTTAGCTAATACTTCCATCGTATCACATAGTTCTTTTTTGTAATAAGAACTTTTAAGATCTACTCTCTTGGCAATTTTCACAGTACAATATGATACTCTTAGCTATAAGCACAATGTTGTATGTTAGGACCTCAGAACTTACTCATCTGCTAACTGGCAATTGGCTTTTGTTTATTAATCTTGTATTCTGAAAACTTGCTATAGCTGCTTGATTTTTAAAAATTCTTTGGTATGTTTCTATGTAGATAATCCTATCATCTATGAATAAAGACAATTGTTTTTATTCTTTTCCAATGTTCATACTTTTATTTTCATTTCTTGTCTTATGGCATGAGCTAGGATATCCTATATAATGTTACGGAGGAGTGATGACAGGGAATATCCTTGCCTTGTTCCTGATCTAGAGAGAAAATGTCTCATATGTTATCTGTAGGTTTTTGTAGATGTCATTAATCAGTCTAGGGAAGTTCTCCTATATTCTTAATTTGGTGAGTATTTTTATTACGACTAAGTGTTGGATTTTGTCAAATGCTGCATCTTCTGTGTCCATTAATTTGGTCATATGATTTTCCTTACCTAGTTTGTTGATATTGTGGATTACACTGACTAATTCAACAAATGTTGAACAAGCCTTGCGTTCATGGAATAAATACTACTTGGTCAAGGTGTATAATTCTTATACATTACCAAATTTGACTTGTTACTATTTTATGAAGGTTTTTTGTGTGTGTCTGTGTTCAATGAGAAACACAGGTCTGCAATTTTTGTTTTTAATCTAGTTTCGCCTTGTTGAATACGCTGGGTAGCATTCCTGTGCTTTTATCTTTGGGGGAGATTGTAAAGAACTGACATCATTTCTTCCTTAAATGTTTGATATAAATCATTTGTAAAATTATTTGGGTTTGGTGATTTTTGGGGGAAAAGATGACTGATTGATTATTAATTCAATCTATTTATAGATGTGAGGAAATTCATGCTGTCTCCTTGTGTATATTTGGATTGTTCATAATTCTCCTGAAACTATAAAATATACTTGATAAAATATAGAAATGCCTACAGAGATTCCCTCAAAACCAGATTTATAGTTCTAGACCATGCAATGAAACACAAAATCGTTTTTAAAAAACTTACAGCAGAAATTCTGAAATTTTAACCAGATTATTAAAATGGGTTATCAGCTTTCCACATTTGTTAACTGCACCATATTTGTTTGTTCATGCTTCCTGTATGTCTGTCTGCACCTCCATTTGCTACCCCAGGAAAGAAGTGGGTTTTTTTAAAATCTATTTTTAAGAATTGTATGTTGTATTATGTTTTATTTTAAATATTTTCTAATGATCTTCATGAAAAATACTTACATGGTCATTTAAGATAGTTTTCCTTATAATAATTTGAGTTTTCCACGATCTCCTTCAATTTACATTTCACATCTATTTAAAATTGTTTCTCGGTGTTTTATGGGTATTCTCATTAGGAAGCAGGTGTTCAAAGTACTGTGTTATTAGTAGTACTGTAGCTTGCTTAGAGTGAAAGCCATTGTAGTGTAGTTTGCAATTTACTCTGTAGTAATAATGGGCTTTTGTGGACAATGATTAAGTCTTGGATTTTATTTTTAAATGTTAGCATTTCAAAAGATACATGGTCTTTCTGGTCTCAACTAGCATGGGAAATAATAAGGGAAATGCTTAACAGTCATCATTTCACACAGGCAGTGACATATCCAGGCACCTGTAGGCAATGACATCATGAAGCTATAGGGAGACAAAAAAATATGACATTTTTCATGATAATGTCTTTCACAGTAACTCTTTTATTTATTTTAAGTACTTGAATATGTAATAATTATCAACATTTTCATAACATCCTATCGTATCCATAAAACCACTGGACATTACTATCTCAGCATTCTGAAATGCTCAATGAATGCAGTCCCATTCTCTTTGGAATTGGCTGTTGGCCTCTCAGTTTGTTTATTAGACCATCCAAAACATGACATCTGGGGCTGTGGGTTTTTTTTAAAATATTTTATTATTTATTCATTTATTTATTTACTCATGACACACACACACACACACACACACAGAGAGAGACACAGGCAGAGGGAGAAGCAGGTTCCATGCAGGGAGCCCAATGTGGGACTCGATCCTGGGTCTCCCGGATCTCACCTGGGCCGAAGGCAGGCAGTCAACCGCTGAGCTGCCCAGGAACCCCCTGGGGCTGTGTTTTTTTATCCAGCACAATACCTAGCCCAGTGCCCCACCCAAAGTAGGCACTAAATTGAATTTTTTGAGAGGATGAGTGAATCAGAAGATGAATGAATGGTCACATCCATACATCAGCTAATGGGAATTGTCTGTGAGTAAAACAGTATTTCATTACAGTGGTAATTCCAATCACCTTTATCTTACCTCACCCTACTTCTTCTGGGCAAGTGTGTTAGTTTCCAGTTGGCTTCTTCTTTCTCCCTCTACTAACCTTGCATGGAGATCTCATGGACTCTTATTTAGAGGTTGATACTAAACCAAGAGCAACTGTCTTATCATATTCATATCATACTCCCAGGCTTTGCCCAACCTCTGTGGAAGTATTATGTAAGTGTACATCAAGAAGTGGGAATCTTGGTGACCATCTCGAAATTCTGCCTCCCACAATGGCAGAAATATTCCTAGACTAATCCATTTCTCATTGTTATCTTGCTGTTTCCAAGTGGAGTGTCCATCCCTTAATTATCTGGGCAAATAGGGTTTCCCTTGGGAGATATTCTGATGAACGCTTGACTTGTTTTGTCTTTGATTACGTTCAGTATCACTACATTTACTTTAGCCAGACTTTCTTGCAAGTCATCCACATTTCTCTTTCTTCTTCATTTAGGGTCTCTTCCCTTCATAGAAGTTATTTGCACTTCCCCCTTACAAACTTTTGACTTTTTGTGTTTCCAATTCTTGATAGGAAATTTTTAGGTACTATCAGGGCTTGTTTATAATTGCTCCTGCATCAAAACTGTTTCAAAATCAAAGGTTTACACACCATTTTTTATTGCCCTAAAGGAAAAGCTAGGAACCTATTTATTCCATAGTCTTTGTAAAGACTGTGCATATTAATCGTGCACATACTATTTTACTATGTACCAGACAATGACTTAAACACAGGATTTCTATTCAAAATATGAAATAGGAAGTATCACAGAAGAGTGGCAATTGTGTGATATTGTCCTTTTTAACATCACGGATGGCTTTTATATAAAACTTCAGCATACACATAATTTCTTCTCTTTTCTGGAAGATGGGAATAATGTACACTTCCTTCATCTCTTGGACAAAATCAAACACTTGAGTATAGATACAAATTGCTTTCCAACAATAAGAGAATTTTTCACTCCTTTTTACTTAGACATTGTATGAGTTTCCTCAGGTTGCCATAACAAATGCCACAAACTGGATGGCTTTTTATTTTTTTCACAATCCTAGCAGCTAAAAGTTAAGATCAAGGACCTGCAGGTTTGGTTTCTTCTGAAACCCTCTCCTTGCTTGCAGATAGACTTCTTCCAGTGTCTTCACGTGGTCTTCCCTCTGTGTGGATCTGAGTCCTAATCTCTCTTGGAAGGGCACTCACTAGTTATATGGGATGAAGGCCCACCCTAATAACCTCATTTAATGAAATTGTCTCTTCAATGCTCCTAACTCCAAATACAGTCAAAATCTGAGGTCCTGGGAGTAAGGACTTCAACATATGAAAAGCTGGAAGGAGAAGAAAGTTCAGCCCACAACACTCATGATAGGAACTAGCTGCTTTGTGCCCCGGCAACTAAGGAGAAGTTCAAAATGCAAAACACAGTGTAAAAGAAGTAATTACTGAGATGAACAGATGCTATTATGGGACCCCATTTTATACCTGTGCCTCAGTGTTGTTTCTGGAGGAACTTTCCAGAGCAGTAAGCACCCAGTATATGCTTGGTAGATTGATATCATATCGACCATTCAGAGAAACATGTTGAGTATTTTCTGGAATTGAATGAAAAGGGCAAAAAGAAGCCATTTCCCAGCATTTTATTGGATTCCATAAGAATTTTGAGCATCAGACTATACTCTGCTATGTAGGAGCCAGTTCCAGCAGGAATCTTTTGGGTTCCTACATGTATTATTGTCAGACGAAGGATAGCAACCCACCTGTTATACAATGTTATCTTGACATGCATTTTTAATGAATTGGGTCCCTCAGTTTATGTGCACTCATAAAACCTAATAGTTCAACCTCTCTATAACCATATTCACCACTTCCCATCTGAGGAATAACATTTTATTATAAAATTACAATTTTTGTAATTTAGATCTCTAGTTTCTAAGATAAGAAAACAGACATATCATTTGGGGGCAGGAATAGAAACAAAGTAAATTCTGCTTAAAACAGAAGAAACAACTTTTTGAAAACATTCCTGGACATACTTTCACAGTTCTTGAGAAATATTTATTTTTTGCTCATCTTCTGACTATGGATAATGAACCGAATCATTTAAGTTAAAAATAAGTCTTACTGGCTATTTGCCCTAAATGAAGAGACATCTTTCTACCCCAATGCAATAGCAAAAACTAAAATCTCTTAACTGAAAAGATGTCTTCTCTCACACTATTGTCCATAATTAGGAATTTGGTCACAAGTAAGAGAAACTTGGTGACAGCCATGTTATCATACTCCTCCTAACTTCTCTCTCTTCCATATGTCAAATGACTTACTGATTTATTTTCTCCACAGGTACAATATTTGGCTCCTAGCTAGTGTGCAACAGATCTTTGTTATCAGATCTTCTCCCTGCTACTTCAGATAACTTTGACGATTACTTAAATTCTACTTCCCGGACTAACTTCTCTTTCCTTTCCACTGTAGGCTACCAGTGAGCACATTTTAGAGCACATTTACCCTTTGATTAATAGCTAAATAAGCTTAGAAATTTAGGAAAGGTAAATTGGGCCACTTGGTACTTTTTCATATAAGGAAAACAAACTACTTGTGTGCCTCAGTGTTGCTTCTGGAGGAACTTTCCAGAGCATTGAGCAGTTAGTACAAACTCCTAGCATGATGTGAGTCTTTCCAGTCCTGTGATGTCAACTTTCTATCTTGCCAGGGTTAAAGAAGTTTGGATTAGGGTAAATAGGTACCATTTTCTTACAGATGCATAGTATCTTCTTATTGTTACACTCAAGAGTTATGTTAGTGTTAATTTGAACAGTCAGAAGAGTTTAGGTTAGAATTTCAAAGAAATGTATGAATCCTTCAAATCTCAATTTTCCTCTATGGTATAAAATATCACTCTTCTTTTAAAAAGATCCTAAAATCATCCCAAATTACCAGATCCAAATGCTGAACAACCAGTCCGTGTTTACCACGAGGAATAGGGTTAAAATTTGCTCTCCAATGACAAATCCCAACCCGGAACAGATTTCAGCCAGGCAGCTAGCAGAGCTCGCCGGGTGAACTGCACAGGCCATGGTGGGTGCACAGCTCAGAGCCGGAAAGCAAACAGCTGCTGTAGCCTGATTTGAGTTAAAATAGTGTGAGTGTTTAGTCTGGCGCACGGCTTCAGGGGAGATTGGCAGCTGGGTCAAACAAAGTCCTTCCATTGGCTCTCTTCCCAGGCAGCTTCTGCTAGTATTTAGGTACTAGTGCAGTGTAGGGCCCTTTTCTCAGGCAAAAGCTAACATCTGACCGCACCCTCTTTGCTTTTCCAAAAAAAAAAAAAAGAAAAAAAGAAAAAAGAAAGAAAAAAAGAAAAGAAAAAGAAAAAAAAAGAAAAAAGAAAGAAAAGAGAAAGAAAGGAAGGAAGAAAAAGAAAAGAAAAAAGAGAAAAAGAAAAAACCTTCTTTTTCCTTCTTTCATTAAGATAAATTCTCCAATAGACAACCTCTCCCACTAATTGTGTATTAGCAATGTATTTTATCTTGAGAGCTGACGCACTGGGCTCTCAACGTGGTGTGGAAAGCAGCCTGTTACAGTGCTGGATTCATAAAAGGGCCTTTATGGTTTGTGAAAGAATATCTGTGTGCTTAGGCAGGAAACTTTTTGATCTGCAGAAAAGCCAGAAGACATCTAGGTAAGGCTACATATCAAATCTACTTTTGGGGGGAAAAGTTGGGCAGTGAGAATGATTTCTCACCATCGTCGCGACTTTGGAGTGTGCATGTTCACTTTTGTAGAAGTTTAAAAGGTACTGACTGTTGTTTGCTTATTTTTTGTTTGTTTGTTTAAATCTGAAGGGAATACTGTGGTCTGCATTTTTACGATTTTGTTTTCTGCTATTGAACTGATTATAGTGGATATAGAGTTTTACTATATAGCAAAATCTTTGTAAACTGCCACAGAAAGAAAGTGTATTTAGAAGGGAAATTGACAAGTTTTAAAGAGTAATTGTACAATCATTTGAGGACAGAGGAACGCTGCATTAGACTAACAAGGGTTTAATTACCAAAAAAAGTTTAATGTTGCTTTGGAAGGAATATTAAGTAAGTTGTCTTTGTCTCGTACTTTTTAATTTTAGTCGCTGATTTAGCCTGTTGGGTCACATTTTTTGTTAGCGCTGAAGGCTGCCATGAATCCCTAATGAGGCCCCTTTGCACATGATTTTGGCACTTGGCCAAAATCAACTTCCCAGCGGCAAGCTTTCTGTAAAGAACCTGGAGCAATTTTTTTTTTTTTTTGATTAGAAATCATGTCTGAAAGCTGCCACAACCAGTTGTGTAGGCATGTCAAAATGACTTTATACAGTAAATATGAAACAAGCACGTAAAAAAATTTCCTGATATTGTTGCTCTTTATCATTATGAATTCCTGCTTGTGGCCACCTCAAATAGGTTAGAACAAGAACAATCTCTTGAAAAGCAATCTGAAAGAAAATTTACTGATTTTTTTTTTGTTTTTCTCAGCAGACCAGAGTAGGGGTGGCCATCTCATTGAGATGTATACAGTACGAAAGGGTTATTCAAAACACTTGAGGATAAATAACAGATGAATTCTTAAAACTGTTAATCTCTGTAAGTAATACTCAGTGAACAGTAAGTAATGAAGTTTTCTAGAAGTTTCGTTGTACGCACAATTAAGCTTCACAATTTTTAAATAGGAATTTTGTATATTTTAAATGTTATGGCATTTGGGATTCTAAAAAATGTTAACATTTATTATATAATTTTAAAAATTTATTAACATCTTGGTGGTATTTCTAGCAAATGTTTTAAAGAAATGTTTGGTATTTATAGATGACTGAATAACTTTTATAATTGTTTTCAATTGCTTTTTTGCAATTAAACATGATTTTTCATGAAAGAAATTCTGAAGCTGAAAGGCACCTTACACTCAATTTTTGGAACTTTTGATTTTTTACTATACTTTACTATAACTGAATTTGTCTTGTAAGCTGATATGTTATTTTATATACCCCAGTATTTTAAGAGTTAAATTCTCAAGTTGCGATGAAATACTACAGTTATCAGATATTAACCTTGGATTTTATATAGCCGTTTTCAGCAATACCTTTAGACATTAAAAGTAGATACACTGCAGAGTATTTAAAAGTAGAAAAGTCGGAAGGATTTCGGTTGCTTTGTTTCTCTTTAAGAAATCCTATTATCATTGTCCTAAATATTATTTTGCTTCATAGGTTAGTCTAAAGTAATTTAGAGTGGAACTTTATTTTTTACTTTAAAATAATCATATTTCTCTTTAAAAGATTAATAAGAACTAGATTTACTTCCCCTGCAATGAAATATGATTCAGACCTGTCTTATTAGATATGTTTTTCCTATGTTTATCACTATGGTTATCTTCCCCTTATTATTACACAATGTAAAATGTTGCTAATTTGGGTCATAGAAAAAAGTGAATATTACTTTAAGTAAATTTTAGCACTAGAAAATGTATCTTGATTTCCTGCAGATCAATTTATGTTTATGTACAATTTATGTTTATATACAAAATGTTTTGAATTGTTGTGGGCTGAATTATGATGCTGTGTATACTTTACTACTAGTTGCTTTTAGGCAAGGAGTGTTTGAAATTATATCAGTCAACATTAAAATATATAGATGTTATAAATGGGGAAAAGGTAATACATATCTGCTATTTATAGAAATTTACCTGAATAAGTTCTATACTTCTATGTGAGTTCACAGTGGAAGTCTCTTTTAATGCAAACTTCTGTAATTTTTAAAAAGGAATTAAGACATAACATTTCAAAATTTGGGTAAAAACAAAAACGTTATCATCAAACAGGTGCAAGAATAGTTAGATCGCTTGTCTTATTCAGCATAATTCTGGCTTAAAAATTATTTTTAATTATATTTTTATTGTAATCTTAGCTCTCATACACATAACATTATTTTGTTTTCATTTTTTATTATTTTAAAATCACATTTGCTTATTTGAAATTGGCAGAATATTTCTCTAAAATATACTAAAAATTTTTCTACTGAAAAACTTAGGTTCTATTTTTTTTGGTTACTTAGAAGTGATAGTAAAGTAAATGCCTTAAAATATAGAACTTTTAGAGGACATAGATATGCTAGTTTGTGAGTACAGAAAAAAAAAACTTAATTGTACACAATTACTGAAAAATATTTTTGAACTGAGGTAGAAAAAGTAAGTATTGAGAAGAATTTGTCATACTCTATGAAAAAGGCTAAGGAATTTACTTTCTTTTGCTATAGCTATGAATTGTAATTGAGCATTTCAATGGTATGGGCTTTTTGGCAAAAATATTAGTTAATTTTACTTGGAAGCATAAATGCAAAATACTGATTACATTTTCTTTGGTGAACTGACATTTTAAAAACAATTTTCAGAATCCAATTACTTTAAAAAACAAAAATAGTTTAATATTTTTGCTAAATCTATTTATGAAGAACAGCTTGAATGATTTATTTGTCATGTTTTTCCATCCTTTTGGGAATATTAAAACCTACTTCACTTTACAAGTAGAAACTTCTTCACTCTTCAGAAAAAGTAAAATTCATTTGTATTTGTCAATTTAGATTTGAGGCCTTTACCATTTTAAGTGTGACAGAGTTTTTGTTTGTTTCAATTATGCAACAGGCACATAAAGTGCTTTCTGTCCCCTAATTAAAAGACATATTATATAATTAAGTGTTAATTTTAATTTTGTGTTGAAAAGAAAGCTTTAAAACTGCAGTATTCTATCCACAATTTTTAAAATGTGAGAAGTGTTTGCAAGAGGGCATTCTTGATGACTGTTTCATCATTTAAATGAAATGCTTTGTTCTACATGGTCTAAATTCCAGCGATGAGATAAATGTATTGCTATACTAGATAGAACGTCATTATTGAATTTTGGCACAACTTCAGTAACCTCTGCCATAAGAGATTAGTATATGTGAGATGATCTAGAATTTGCAATAACAAAGTAAATAAGTGAAGCACGTGAGACACTAACCTTTGTTGTTTTAGAGAAAGTACGTGCAAAATAAAAGGAGGTACTTTTCACGTAAACGGCCGATAGGAATATTTTGTCATTTCCTTAAAGCCATACATCTTGAACATTAAAAAAATAATTACAATTTGTAATGCATTTGTAAGACGTTCTCCATAGAATTAAGTGCAGTATTTTAACTATCATATTTCCAAATGATGAACATAAATTAGGTAACCAGGTAATTTTTAAATGTTGTGCTTTGATTTAAATGTAGTTAATATTGAATGAAAGAATAATTTTCTCCAGGTTGAAGTCCTTTTCATTTAAAAGAATGGTTGATTTACACTTGTTGCACTTTTTAAACTTAATATTGGTTTAATTTTTAAATTATCACAAAGTAAACATTGCTATTTGATATAGTTTTTAAACATGGTAAGGCTTATTTTACAAGCAACTTGACCTATTGTATGTTTGAACAATGATGATTTAAGTCTACCTGTATATTCTACTCTCAAAATCAAGATCAGCAAAGGGATCTCCTTTTTGAGGCTCAAAATTTCTCTCTAAAAAAAATTTTATCTTGTTTATGCGTTCAGGTATTTTTTCGTCTTGAGTATCTGCCTATCTCCTGAGGCATCTGTCTTGTGACCATTAGGCTAGAGAGTGTAGTAGGAAGGTCTAAGTTTATTCTTACTCCATATTGCTCTAAATAAGCAAAAGGTTTGAATTTCTTATTGAAATCTAGTCTGTTTGACTCAATATAGACAACCACATCAAATTCGATGATTAGGATAGATTAAAGCACTGAATATTCGCAAGTTAGTGGTCATTTACATGTTTGGGTGGTGATTCTAAAGATTTGATTATTACTGGCTTTACATAATTACTAATTTATAGAACATCTGGAATCTCATCATTTGCTTCAAAAACTATTAATATTACTAATTTTATAATTGCCTCCTCTTTGCTATTATTGAAATGTTGCATAATAGTTTTCTTTAAAAATACCATGAGACTAAGTGGTGTCTTACTTTCTATTTCTCCCATTAACAGAAGAGGTCAACATGTGGGGGGGGGGTGCGGGGGGATGGGGGGAATGCTTGAAATATTTCAAAAAAAATTTCCCTTCTGTGATTATCAACTATTTTACTATTTGTGGAGATTTTGAAAGGAGTGATTGTATGTTTGAATGTTTATCGAAATGTGAGGAATACACGGGCTTTCTGTGGACTTCGGTTACAAAACTAAAGTAGAAAATAAGATTGAGATTAATGACATGGTGTATTTTTATAGCCACTAATCACAACTCTCTATTCACACATAAACAGCAAGCTAGAAAGATACTCAATGGGCTCTAAGAGCAACCTTCATTGACTCTTCACTCAGGAACAGCTGAGAAAGTGGCAGAAAAGGGATGGTTGTGGCCCTGTCTCTATGATCTATGGCCCATGCAGTCATTCCCCATTTTTAAACCCCCTCCTCCTACTTCCCAGCTACAGGTCACTATTCTCAGAAATTTTTAGACACAAGGGTTGCTGCAGAACACACTCATTCTTATTTCTCAGTGGAAGGTGTGTGGTTGGGGTTTCTTTGGCAGAGGCAGTGTTCTGTGTATGGTGACTTAAAAAAAAAAAAAAAAACAGTTTGAGTAGGTCAGCTCAATCAGATGACCAAATCAGCATAATAACCAAGCTAAGTAAGCCTTAGGAAGCATAATTAGTTTTTCATTCTTCCCTAAACCTGGGCACTTTCCTGAAGAATGCAGGCAGTTGCATGTGAAAGGTTGAGTTGCTAAAAACTCTGTGATCAATATTCGATTTGTGAGTTGTTATAAATTATTTTGTGTTCAAAGTAATATATATCAATATGTATTATGTGTCTAAATTATTTAAATGATAGAAACTATTGTCCTGAATTTAAACTTGTGGGATAAGCTTTAATTCTATTTGAGAAGTACTCTGCAAATTACTTTTTTAAAGCATTTCTTTAAAAACAATTTTACTACATTTTTCGCGAGGCATGATGATTTAGACGTACTTTCTGCCAGTGGAGCAATTTTTGAAAATTATATGTATGCTGCCATCACTTGTTCTGGTGGATTCTAACCTGATCACATGTTCTTTTCTCTCCATTCCTAGAATCCACCATCCATAGATATTCTCTAGAGAGATTTTTTTTTTGTCAATAGTTAGTTTTAAATACAGTTAGATAGGACATTCAAAAAGATTGATGCACAGAGAATTCATACTCAAGTGTGATTTAGCTATTTCTAAAAGATCTTCAATTGTCAGGAAATGAATCAACAACAATGTAGAAACAGAATGATTTGTAATTTTGGCAGATGGAACACAGCAATAATCAGTTCAGAATATTTATGGAATGATAACATTTTTCTATTGACATATTTTTGTGCCAACAAATTTAATTTGGAAACTGCTATTTGTTATTAGAAGGCAGTAGTTGACTTTGCTAATCAGTAGTTCAAAATGTCTAATATTAAGACAAAAGGCTGATTTATTGAATGAATAGGTTTTAGATAACATTTAAGTTATCAAGCTACCTCGCATCTGGAATTTGTTTTAATTTCCAATATCTAAATCATTAAGAAGG